GTGTTATGAAAATGAAAAGTGGGTCACATAAAGTTGAAATCTGACTCGCTTAGGTTAAATTACAAAAAATTTAATTGCAGTCGTATATTTCTCAAATTAAAATTTACTGTAGTGTAGTAACAATGTAAGTAATTTAAGGTATTTTGTTAAAATGCTATGCGTTAGGATAATTGAGATATTTCTAAAATATTGTTAAAACATTTTTTCAGAAAAAAATATCGCCTGGCTTTCTTTTATATGAGAAATTCAAAGTATATAAATAAAGAGAAAAAGAAAAGGCAGCTCACGGGAAGTAGGGAGATAGATCTGTCTCAGAGGAGCAGTGGGGCAAGAGGGAGGGAGTAGCGGAATGGAGGGCGGGGATGGGAAGGGGAGGTAAGCTGTGTCATGTACACGCACCAGCTGCACACAAGACGTGTAAACATTGTGTGCTGCAAATATGTACCAAGGGGAAAGGAAGGGGGGGTCAAGAGATGAGGCAGGGTAGGTGGGAAGGGAATGGAGAAAGAATGAGGGTGCACTACGTACCCAGACCCGCAAGGAGTGTGAACATTGTGCACTGCACGTGTGTACTAATAAAAAATTGATTTCTTAAAAAAGAACTTAGTTATTTAAGATTTTATTTCTAGAAAATTTAGAACAATCAAAAAGTATTGATAATCTTTAAATTAAAAATCTCCTGCATTTTATTTGCCATTTTAGCAGTTAATAACTTGCCATCAAATGTGCTCCTGATTCTATGACAACTCAGTCAAGGAAACTCTGCTATTCCATTACTGTCCCCAGCATACAGGTCACATAACCATTACAGGGTTACAGGTGAATAAAATACAAGCACAGAAGGACAGCACTTCTTAGTCTTTATAAAATGATCTGTATGAAATCAAAAAGGTTAAATTTATATCTCTTTCCATTCAAATGTAATGCTCTAGAAGTATTAGAAGTTTTCTTCTACCCTTTCTCAGAAATGCTTAGTTTTTAGTGGATTTAAGAACCCAGCTGGTTATTCTTTCAAGGGGAAAACTGCCCTTTGCTTTTAGAAAAAATAAAATGTAATCTTATTTCCTTCCTTCTTTCTTAAATACAAAGCTCTCAAGACAAAGAATATATATAGCACATTTAGAATATTTAAGACTGGTGTTATTTAAGATAGCTTTGCTAACCCTGTATGACTCGAAGGAGGCCCTTGGCCTTCTCTATGATGTGTGCCCAACACATCTTTCAGCCACTCAAGAGTTCGGATTCACTTCAGAAACTAGGCCACCTGCCAGTTCCTCCTTCACTCACCTCACAAAGTTACATAGTCACTAACTTGACATTTTAATTAAACAGATAGCACTGCTTGCTGCACACAATTTATGAGGCTTATAAATTGGTGATTGTAAAGGACATTGCAATTTTCTGATGAAAGGTTCTCGTGAATTGATGTTGTATTACTGTTGTTTTTTTATCTAGCAGTGTCAGCTCACCTGATTCCTTCTTATTAGTCATTCTATACTTACAAAAAAACCCCATAAGAATAGATGGCCAATTCAGATAATGCCACCTATTTTAAAGACCCTATAAATCATGGCTGGTGATTCCTGTACAGTTTTATCATAACACGTTCTCCAAGGCAGCTTTATATTAGAACATTAATAAAATTAATTCCTCTTTCATAAAAGCTCAGAATTGTAATTTATGATAACTGTTTGTTTGTTCACTGCAGGCAAAAAGATTAAAAATGAGTAAACCAGAATACCAACTAAACTGCATGTGTCTGGTTTTATTGGGGGTGTGGAAAGTTAAGAGAGGATTTTAAAACTCGTAATGTTATCTAGGATGGTATTCTCCATGGATTCAACTCCTGAAGGCTTAATTTTTGTTTTCAGTAAATAAGAATTGTCCAGATTTACAGGTTCTATTCACGAGTGAAATTATTTCTACTTGGTTAAGCAGAGCAATTAGAATAAGAAAATCAGCGCCAGTGGTGCTTGTAACAGCAAGTGCATCGTAATAATAAGAGAACTGTACAGTTATTTTTAAAGCAGCACAGCAGCTTATCTGAACCTTATTTGAACGCTAATAGTTAACACATGGGCACGTGTGTTGGTAAGTTATGCTCCTCTTTGTACCTCAGTTTCCTCATGCAGAAAATCAAGATGGTATTGCTACTCACGCATCATATGAATGGGATGTTAAATGAGTTCCATGTAAGGTTCTTAGTAAAGTGTGAAGTGCATGTTGAGTATTCAATGAATGTTAGCTAAAATCATTATGCTAGAAACAATAGTAGCAAGAATGTTACAGAACAACAATAATATCAACAAAAGAACGTTACACAACAAAATAAAATCTATCATTCAGGTAGAGTTTCACCATCTTCTAAATATCAAAGATTAAAAAAATGCCTGATGGTCAGAGGCTCTGACCACCTTTTCCAGTGTCAGAATCAAATCTTCAGATTCCTAAGCAGATCTTATAGTTTTGTATTCAGTGTCATGCACATTAATGCAATGGTAAAGGGCAGAGTTTGAGTTATTTATGTTACTGGAAGTTGTATCTGTTTTAACTTACTTTTTTGAACTAGAGATTCAGAATTTACTTATTTTGGTGAGATTTCTTTTCTTTTCTTCTTTTTAAAAGAAAATGAAGAAAGCTTCCATGTGGAATTTACAATTGAAGTAACACAGCACAGATCTTTAGACTGTGTCGGAGATTCTACCGTGGTTTTCCAGCACGGCACCCTGTCACTGCTCCCTGACACACTGCCCAGGAGTGACAGAAGGGGAAGGCAGAGAGCCAGAGGTGTCAGGCTTGAAGAAAACCCAGTCATCTACTTAGCTGGAACTCTTGACTATTCTTCGTTTTATTCTTTAAAAAACAAGACAGAAAGAGAAATGAGGGAGGGAGACTGTTAGCTGTATATATGATTGCATTGCCAAAATTTTAGTTGCTTTGTAGTACTAACAAATGCTGAGACATTCAGATAGTCTCACACAAGGTTCTATTTTAACCAAGAAAAATGGAGCTAGGAATGTAGCTTAGTGTAAAAGCACATGCTCAATATGGCCAACTCTCCGCATTTGTTCTACAAAAAGTAAATTAATAAAGCAGAAAACCCTGAAGTAAACTAGGAAAATAACTTTCACTCACCTTGAAACAATTTTACATGGTAACTGCTGGTCTGGTAGCCCTACACAGGAAGATTCACCGTAAATTCACTCAACTGGATCTTTCTTATCAGATATTTTACAAATCTGAACATTTTTACTTTGGTGAGTTTTTTTTAAAGGAAAATAGAACATTTCTCATATTTAAGATTTAAAAAATAGAGACTTCCAGGTTATTAACTCAGTCCCTAATTATGTAACCATCACCAGAGTAAAAACCTTAAGACATCATTTGTTATGTTCATTATCCTTGTTTTTCTGATTTTGTTCTGAAATAAAATAGCTAGTATATTTCAATAAAGACAATTCAGCTAAAAAAGTCATTAAACTGTCACCTGTTCATTCCCCCAAATATCACTCTACTTGTTTTCAAATTATTCCTAAAATTGTTGCCTAAAATTTCAGATATAGACAGTAGAATTAATTCAATTTAGGAATAATACAATTCAGGGAATTTAATATTTTACTTCTAGTGTTTGTTAATTTTTTATGAAAACATAGGCTTTGGCAATGTAAAGAAGCAATGTCCAAACTAATCAAATGAGAACATGTACTTTCTGACTTTTTTACATAATTAAGAAAAAATTCTTGATTTTTAAATATTTAGTGGCAGATAGGGAAATAATTTTCTAATTGATAATAATATATTGCTTTATTTTTAATGAATGGTAATGCTAATTTTATAATAGGATACTATTTCGCAGTATAAGGTAATTTAGAAAATAATGACTAGACGCTGTTAGGGTATCAACTGAGTGTTTAAGTAAAAGAGAAAGACACCTTTGCACTGCATTTTATGAATGTGAGCTCAGTATGTACGAATTACATAATTCATTGTAAGAAAAAAACCTGCTATAGAGGTCGAATAACTCTACTATAAAATCTGGAATGCTATTTCTTTAGATTCATTTTTTTTTTATCTTTTTCATTTTTATCGGTACCAGGGATTGAACTCACGACTGCCTGCTTGCAAGGCAGGTGCTTATGCCGCTGAGCTAAATCCCCAGCCCCCATTTATTTAGATTCTTGAAACCTGAAAACAACTATCAAAAGAAAAAAGTGGACAGAAATAGTAAAATGATTTCTAGGTTTACTTAAAACAAATCATCTTTCGATATGGCTTTTAAATTATTGGCTTAAATCATGTATCGCTTTATTATAGGAAGAGAAACTTGTAACTACTGATGACCAGAAAGAGAAAAATATAGTAACAATGAATAACAAATGAGATTAGAACAGAAGAGTGAAAAAGACATTTTGTATCATAGTGTTATAAAAATGGGGATATAGAAATAACTGAACCATTGGGAAAACTTAATTAAAGAACCTGGCCTTTTCATTTGCTTGCCACTGAATATTTTACTTTTTATTTTTTTGTTATTAATGAGCATGCCTTTACAGACAATGATTGCCAATATTAAAAGGGACATTCAGAGAACATTTAAGGCCTGGATTCATGAGCAACAATAGAGAGTTTATGAATGTGTATTGTAGCAAATCTCTAGCGTAGCTACATGAGGAATGACCTTCCTATATGAGGACTGAGCTCCTTAGTACCTTATACATGTGTGTCTTTGTATGTGTGTGTTATTAGCTCAATTTTCCTATGAAACATAGTTCATATATACAGCTCTTAACATTGGGGAGAATTTGTATTAAGTGTATTTGTATTAACCAAAAATGCTGAGGATTATGATGAAATGTAAAAGTCTTTTTAAACCTAGTTAAAGTGGTTTATTTAAACCTAGATAAAGCGGTATAATTTGTCTCTTCTTCAAACAGAAAAGTTTGTTATATAAACAATAAATTAGTGTTATATATAAACACTATAAAAATTTTATTCCATTCAGCTCCTCAGATCAGAACACAAGTAGTCAAGAGATTTGTCCATCTAATTCACCATACTACTCTGATTCAGGTGAGACTCATACTCTTTCAGCTCTGTCAAGGAACAGAAGAACATTATATTCACGTTCAGATTCTGGAATATCATCCTTGGTAAATAGTTTTCATTATCCCTTTATGCATGACATATGCTGTCTTATATTTAACATTTTAAAGTAAACCATATGTACCTCTTCCTCATTCCCTTCATTTATAATTACTCATCCCATTGGCTTAAGATCATTTATTTACATATCTGCCTTGTAAATTATAGAATGTTAATATGTGGAGCAAAAGTACTACATTTTGTTTAACTCGGTATCCACAATGTCTAAAGGAGTGCCTGCTCTCCTAACTAAGGTACAATGTATATTTTTGAATGAATGAATGTAATGAAATTATTGTTACCCCTGTACAAATGAATAAACCATATATGTTATAATGAATTCTAGAGCAAATGAGATCCTGGATTAGTTAACTGGTTTATTAAAATTTTTTTATTTTTTTAAAAAAGATTAAGATAAAAGAGGACATAACACACAGGTCAGAGCAGAACAATTTAAGCAACATAGTGTTTCACCACAAGACAACCCAACGTAACAGTAGTTACCACAGTGTCTCTTTCCTTGAAATATTTGAGTATAACTTCATATACTATAGCATCAAACATAACAAGAGAGTGTAAAACCATTCAAGAGAATGAAAGCATTACAAGTATTCAGAACCAACTAACAGAAAAGAAACAATGGTTACTATAGTATCTCCTTGGCTATAATAAATTTTACTTATACTATCACATATTATAAAATCCAAAGGGATACAACATGATAAAACCGATGGAGATAGAAGAACAAAAGCTTGATGGGACTTCAAAACGAGATGATATTAAATCATCACTAGCTATTATAGTGTCTTGTTTTCTTCAAAATAGCTGTTTATACCATCACAGACAGAAAAAATCAAACAACCCAAAATAAAACCATTCCAACTAATGAATGAAAACATTATAAGGCTTCAAAGCAATATAATGGGGAATCATGATTACAACATATTTTTATGCATTCTTACCATTTCTTACACAAGGGAAACTATTTGGTATTTATACATGTGAGTTTGATTTATTTTGCTTTATGAGTATGGTCTCAAGCTGTGCCTATTTATTTATAAACATCTCAATGTGATCCTTCTTTATAGCTGAGTAGTACTCCATTGTATAAAAATACAACTTTTTTATCCATTCCTCAGTTGATGGACACTTAGGTTGTTTCCAAGATCCGGCAATTACAAATTGTGCTGCTATAAACATGGGTGCACATATATCACTGTGGTATCATGCTTTCAGTTCTTCTGGGAATATGCCTAGAAGTGAAACAAATGGGACTCCCAATCCCAGCTTTTTGAGAAATCTCCAGACTGACCTCCACAATGGTTGCACCAGTCTACACTCCCACCAACAGTGCAGGAGAGTTCCTTTTTCCTCACATCCTCTCCAGCATTTGTTATTGGTGGTTTTCTTGATCCTGGCCATTCTTTCAGGAGTGAGATGGTATCTCAGTGTGGTTTTAATTTGCATTTCTCTAATGAGTAATCATGATGAACATTTTTCATGTATTTATTTGCCATTTGTATTTCTCCATTTGAGAATTGTGTATCCATCTCAGATGCCCATTTTTGGACTGCATTCTTGAATTTTGGGGGTCTGATTTTTAAAAATTCTTTATATGTTTTAGACAGAAGTCCTTTGTCTGAGGGAGAGTTCACTAAGATTTTTTCCCAGTTTGTGGGTTTTCTTTTCACTATGCTGGAGATTTCTTTTGACATGCAGAAACTTTTTAATAAGAGGTGGTCCCAGTTATTGATTCTGGGAAGTATTTCCCGTGCGGTTTGAGTCTTGTTCATGAATTCTCTACCTACCCCTATGTCTTCAAGGTTTCTACCCAATTTATCTTCCCATAAATTTAGTGTTTCTGTTTTAATATTCAGATCTTTCATCCATTTAGATTTTAATTTAGTACATGGTGATAAGCATGGGTCTAGTTTTAGTTTTTAGCATATGGAGAGCCAGCTTCTCCAACACCATTTATTAAAAAGACTGTCGTTCTTCCAGTGAACCTGCTTGGCTCCTTTATCGAAGATAAGGTGGTTGAGTGTGTTTGTAGTTGTGGTTGTATCTTCTAATCTATTCCATTGATCTTTGGCTCTGTTTTGATTCCAGTACCATGTTGATTTTACTATGGTTGCTTTGTAATATAACTTCAAGTCAGGGATTGTGATACCTCCTGCCTTGCCTTTGCTGCTTAGAACTATCTTTGCTATTCTAGGTCTCTTCTCCCTCCAGATGAATTTTTGGGAGGGATTTCTCTAGATCTATAAGGTATGTTGATGATAATTTTATTGGGATTGCATTGAATCTTTGTAACAGTTTGGGGACAATGGCCATTTTCACAATATTTATTCTTCCTATCCATGAACAAGGGATGCCTTTCCATTTTCTGAGATCATCTTCAATTGCTTTTTTCAGTGTATTATAATTTTCCCTATATAGATCTTTCACTTCTTGTGTGAGAGTAATTCCTAAATATTTCATTTTTTGGGTTGCTAATGTGAAGGGTGTGGCTTCTCATATCTGTCTCTGTGATTCTGTTGTTAGTGTATTGGAATGCTATTGATTTTTGAGTATTAATTTTGTATCCAGCTACATTGCTGACTTTATTATATCTAGGAGTTTTTCAATGGCATTTTGGGAGTGTTCTATGTAGAGAATCATGTCACCAACAAATAATGATAATTTAACGTCTTCTTTTCTTATCTTTACCCCTTTTATTTCTCTCTTTTGTCTAATTCTCTGGCTAATATTTCCAGTACTATATTAAACAGGAGTGGTGCTAAGGGACATCCTGGTCTTGTGCCTAATTTTAAGGTAAAGGCGTTCAGTTTTTGGCTATTTAGTATGATACTGGCTGTTGGTTTGTCATAGGTGGTCTTTATTACATTGAGGTAAAGATCATCTATTCCAATTTTCTATAAGGTTCTTATCATGAATGAATGTTGGACTTTATCAAAAGCTTTTTCTGCATCTATAGAAATGACCATGTGATTGTTACTTTTGATTTTATTGATATGGTGGATTACTTTTATTGATTTACATATGTTGAACCATCTTTGCTTGCCTGGGATGTATCCCACTTGGTCATGGTGTATAATCTTCATGATGATTTGCTGCATCCTATTTGCCAATATTTTATTGAGATTTTTGCATCTGTGTTCATTAGGGAGATTGTCCTGTAGTTCTCTTTTTTAGTTGGGTCTTTCTCAGGTTTTAGTGCTGGAGTAATATTTGTTTCCAGGAATGACTTAGGAAGGATTACTTCCCTTTCAATTTCATTGAAGAGTTTGAGGAGTGTCGGCATTAAGTCTTCTTTGTATTTCTTGTAGAATCCTGCAGTGAATCCGTCTGGTCGTGGGCTCTTCTTTGTAGGTAAGGACTTAATTATAGTCTCAATTTCATTAATAGAAAGTGGGTTATTCAGCAGTTTTACATCTCCTTGACCCAGCTTTGGTACTTCATATGTTTCAAGGAATCTGTCTATTTCTTCTGTGTTATCAAATCTTTGAGAGTAGAGGTTTTCTACATAGATGCTGATAATCTTCTGTATTTCTACAGAGTCTGTAGTGATTTCACCTTTTTCATTCTTTATTGCATGAATTTGAACTTTTTGTCCCTTTTTAAAATAAGGTTGGCTAGGGGCTTATCAATTTTATTTATTCTGTCAAAGAACCAAGTCTTTGAGTCATTGATTCTTTGGATTGTTCTCTTAGTCTTGATTGCATTTATTTCTGCTCTGGTTTTTATAATCTCCTCCCTTCTTTTGATTTTGGTCTTGACTTGCTCTTCTTTTTCTAGATGTTTGAGGTGTAACATCAGGTTATTTTTTTGTATTCGTTCTGTTTTCCTGATGTGGGAACTCTGTACAATAAATTTTCCTTTGAGGACAGCTTTTATTGCATTGCACAGATTCTGATAAGTTGCATTTGTATTTTCATTTTCTTGTAGGTATTGTTTAATTTCTTTTTTAATTTCCCTTGAGACCCACTGATTACTCAAGAGTATGTTTTTCAACTTCCATGTGTTTGTGGGATTTCTGCAGTATCTTTTATCATTATTTTCTAATTTCATGGTTCTATGATACGATAACATGCATGGGATAATTTCAACTCTTTTGCATTTATTTAAATATGTTCTGTGGGCTAGCATATGTTCTATCTTAGAGAATGACCCATGTACTGCTGAGATGAATGTGTATTCTGGTGTTGGATGGAATACTCTGTATATGTCTATCAAGTCCATTTGTTCACAGATGTGATTCAATTCTCTTATTTCTTTGCTGATTTTGTGTCTGGTTGATCTGTCCCTTGGTGTCAATGGTGTGTGGATGCTTCCTGTTATAATTGTGTTATTGCTAATTTGGGTTTTGATTTCTATTAATGCTTGCTTTATATAACTGGGTGCTCTGGAATTTGGTGCATACATATTTAAGATTGTTATCTCTTCCTCTTGAAGTTTTCCCCTAAGCAGCATGTAATGACCTTCTTTTGATCATTGTTAGTTTGAGTTTCACATTGTCTGCAAACAGAATAGCTATCTCTGCTTTTTTAGGGGGTTCCTGTTGCATGAAGTATTGTTTTCCGTCCTTTGACTCTCAGTCTGTGAGTATCCTTTTGGGTTAGAGATTTCTTGTAGACAGCACATCCTTGGATTTTGTTTCTTGATCCATTCTGCCAATCTATTTCTTTCTTTCTTTCTTTTTTTTTTTTTTTTTTTTTTGTCTTTTTCCTTTTTATCGGTACTGGGAATCGAACTCACAACTGCCTGCTTGCAAGGCAGGTGCTTATGCCGCTGAGCTAAATCCCCTTTTAATTGGTGCACTGAGACCATTTGCATTAATGGTTATAAGTGTTACGTGTTGGTTTATTGTTGACGTGTTATCTTTCTGCTGTTGAATCTTTATCTTTCTGTTCTGTTTAATTTTCTGCTTTGCTTAGTGGTTTTTTCCTAAGTGTATCTAAACTGTCTTTCAGTATTCTTTGCAGGGTTGGTGTGGAGATCATAAAGTTCTTCAGCTATCCTTTGTCATGGAAGTATCTTATTTCTCCATCAACTTTGAAGGACAGTTTTTCAGGGTACATCAGCCTAGGTTGGAAATCATTTTCCTTTAGAATTTGAAATACTTCACTCCATGCTCTTCTTGACTTTATTGTTTGTGCTGAGAAGTCTGCTGTGATTCTGATAGGTTTTCATTTATAGGTGATCTGTCTTTTCTCTCTAACATCTTTTAATATTTTATTCTTATGTTGTATTTATGGGATGGTGATTATTATATGTCTGGGTATAGTTTTGGGTATGGCTATTTGGAGTTGTATATGCTTCACTGATCCTGATGTCAGTTTCCGATCTCTTGTTTGAGAAATTTTCAGGTATTATTTCTCTAAATATCCTCTTGACATCTTTTATGTTGTCCCCTTCTTTTTCATTTATCCCTATCAATGATATGTTGTTTTTCTTTGAATCTTCTTGCAGCTGTTGAATGATTTCCTGTTTCCTTGTTATTTTTAAAAGATCTTTCCTTTCCTGTTCACTAGCTGCAATCTTGTCTTCCAGGTCTGAAATTCTACACTTTCATTGAGGTGTTTTTTACAACTTTCAATGAAATTTTTGATTTCCTGTATATGCCTTTGCATCTGCTTTATGTATTGTTTGTTTCTTATATTGTTCATCCAGGGATTCTACCTTTTTGTTTAGATCCTCCAATTTTTAAACTCCGTCTTCTTTAGATATGTTCAGCATCCCTTTCACTTCTTTTATCATTTTTTCTTTTACCTGGGAGATTATTTCTAGTTTGAATTCCTTTAAAGCTTCCTGGAGTTGCTTCTTTATTTCAGTTTCTATTAATTCAGGTATTTCAGGTGTATGGCACATATTTTCTTCTATGTGCATAGCTTCTAAGGTTTCTTGGAATGGGCTAGAGGTTTGAGATTATATTTTGGTCTTTTGTTTTGTCATTTTTATATATTTCCATGTTTCAAGTGTTATTCCAAGGCTTCCCCAGGGCCTGTTGGGAGCCGCGTCTGTGATAGCTCGCCTTGCGCGGCGGACGTGCGGCCTGTAGGAAAGAGCAAAGCCTGAGGTAGATTGCCCCTCCCATCGAATATGTTAGTTTCCTGCTTACCGCGTAAACAACCCGCTCAACAATATAGTCTGCCTGGCAACTGATGATGTTAGCCAATCAGCTTGCCTTGCTTACTTTAACATGATTGGACACTGTACCCGTATATATACCGGCGCCACCCCTGGGCGGAAGTAGAAGCCAGGTAGAAGCCCAGAAGTAAAAGCCCAAAAGGAGCCGCGGAGAGCGGACCGGTAGAGGCTTTGGGGCAGACTGAAGCACAAAAGGAGCCGCGGGGAGCGGACCAGAGGAGGCTTCAGCTGGGAGAACCCAGGGCAGGCTGTACGGAGAAGGAAAATAAAAAGAAAAGGTTGTCCACTACCAGACTTTGTCGTGTGTCCTTCCTGCCAGCCGGGAGCGGACATCGACATTTGGAGGCCCGCCCGGGGACTGATCACCCCCGAGACGTGGAAGTGGACAACGCTCCAGTACAGAGCTGCGAGACAGGTGAGTTGGGGATAAGCCTGGGCTCTGGGTGGCGCGCACCTACAGGGCTTTTAGACTCCCCTCAGGCTCACGCGTAAGTGGCGGATTCCTTGGGCCTCACGCGGTGAGTAACATATTAAAAGATGGGAAACATGTTAGGTAGCAACACTAAGAGCGAGGGTGGTTGTGGAGAAAGCTCTCAAGAGCTTACAAAAGTACGCAGGGTATCTGAGCAGGCCCAGTCAGGGAGCTCCCGAGAGGGGTCCGTCAAGGGGAACAAGGATGCTAAGGAGGAGGACGGGGCTCTAGCCTCGGAGTCGTCTGACTCCGAGGACGAGGGAAAGTTGAATGGCAAGGGGGCCAAAGAGACCAGCTGTCAGGAGCCTAAGTCGCTCAATAAGGAGTCGCAGGGTTCTTTTCCAGCGTTGCCCCGCGAATTGCGCTCTGCTCAACCTGGTCTGCGGAGGAGTAGAGAGCTCCTGAGCGCTCCCCGGCGCAAGAGGGAGGCGAAGCCTTCCGCCCCACCTTAGGGGCCGTTTCCTGAGGCGATTCCTCGCCACGAGGCGGCCGCCTGGGAGCTCTCTCCCCTTTCGCCAGAACAGGAAGTGATGCACGGGCCCCCATTTTCCGCCCAATCACGGCCGCCGTCTTATGCTCCGCCGCCGGCGGGTCGGTATTTTTACAGGCGGCTTTGGCAGGGGGGACGCTTGTCTCATGAGGTACATCCACCTGGGATAGATAGTGGCCCCTACGAGATATTCCCTGTACAAGTAGCTATGGGCCAGGGACGCAATGTATGGGAGCCTTTTGAGATAAAGCAGATTAGAGAACTTAAAAATGCAGTTACAACCTTTGGGCCGACTGCGCCTTACACCATTGCCATGCTGGAGAATCTGTCTTCTGGGCCCCTCACCCCCGCGGACTGGATTCAGCTGGCAAAGGCGTGTCTGCCCTCGGGCAGTTACCTGGATTGGCGAGCCTGGTACGCAGAGTTCTCTGCCGAGCAGGCTGAGAAAAACGCCGGTCGAGGAAATGGGGGCTGGGGATTTAGCTCAGCGGCATAAGCGCTTGCCTTGCAAGCAGGCAGTCGTGAGTTCAATCCCTGGTACCGATAAAAACAAAAAAAACAAAAAAAAAAAAAAAAAAAAAAGATAAAAATAAAAAATAAAAAATAAAAAACAAAAAGGGGGAGTAAGCCAAGGCCTGCCTCCAAAGGCGCGGTTATCTATGACAGGACAATGGATGGGCCCGGATCCAGTGGTCAGCTGGAACCGAGGCGCGGTTTGTGTTTTCCCACAGGAACCGGGACGAGAACCACTGTGGATACCGGAGAGACTGACACGGGCAACAAAGCCCTCGACTGAAGATCAGACCTGCCCTACTGGAGATCCATCACAGACCAACCAACAAGATGAATAGAAATAGCAGTAGCCCGAAATGGACAAGAAGATCCTCAGGCATATGCATGGCTTGCTCAATTGGCCCACGACCGAGTCTAGATATGGCGGGCATCCCTCATTCTCCTCCATAAGGTGACAATACACAGCAGGGTAGGTGAGTCAATGACGGGTAAGAGCGTGCCTCCCCAGCACGACTCGACCTAAGCCAGGCCCTACCCCATCCTGCACGTAAGCCGCTGGACTGTTAGATGCTGCCCAGGTCTAAATTTCTCTCCGAGGGGATTTCTTTACGGAGAGGAAATGAGTGCAAGCTTGTGTGCATCCAGGTTCCGTCCAGTTTGTGCCTGGCCCTAGAAAAAGGACGAGGGCCTCAGGGCCTTGGCAGACCATGGCATGGCCAACCAGGGTCTAAGCCAAGGACCTACGGTGGGCCTACACATAGGGCATAAGCCTCTGCACCCAGTCCAGGAAGGGCTACGATGCGCACATTCATAAAAAATAAAATAGGGGGAGATGTTGGGAGCCGCGTCTGTGATAGCTCGCCTTGCGCGGCGGACGTGCGGCCTGTAGGAAAGAGCAAAGCCTGAGGTAGATTGCCCCTCCCATCGAATATGTTAGTTTCCTGCTTACCGCGTAAACAACCCGCTCAACAATACAGTCTGCCTGGCAACTGATGATGTTAGCCAATCAGCTTGCCTTGCTTACTTTAACATGATTGGACACTGTACCCATATATATACCGGCGCCACCCCTGGGCGGAAGTAGAAGCCAGGTAGAAGCCCAGAAGTAAAAGCCCAAAAGGAGCCGCGGAGAGCGGACCGGTAGAGGCTTTGGGGCAGACTGAAGCACAAAAGGAGCCGCGGGGAGCGGACCAGAGGAGGCTTCAGCTGGGAGAACCCAGGGCAGGCTGTACGGAGAAGGAAAATAAAAAGAAAAGGTTGTCCACTACCAGACTTTGTCGTGTGTCCTTCCTGCCGGCCGGGAGCGGACATCGACAAGGGCCTATTTGAAATCCTCTTCTATGCCCTCAGCTCCTGGGACTCTGGCTGCCCAGTTCACCGGATTGAGAGAGGGTCACTGCAGGTGGTGAAGGCAGGTCCAAGCCCTGCGAAGTAGGTTGAATGTGGCCGGGAACTGTGAAGTTCCTCGGTTGGTGGGAGCCATGATCCCAAACTCCCAGGTTCGGGATGGTGCAGGGACACTCACCTCAGGCCACCCAGTTTCCAGAACTGGGGGTGCTGGTAGGCCCAATTCCCTGGCTTATTAAAATTAGAAGGGCAAAAAGAATAGGAAAAAACACAAATATTGATTATTCTTTAGAAAGAAACAACTGTCATACAGCATTGAAAATTTTACATAGAAGTTAAACAAAGATGTGCAATAGCTTGTTTTCCTAAATTAGATGTCAGGCAAAAAAATCCAAGCTTTGCTCTTAAATGCAATTTTAATTTAAATTCTTCCCTTTTTCCAGTATAAGCTCATAAAATAGTACAAAGAGGTGAAGACATGCAGCAGCCTCAGGGATTTAACTTGCAAAGATGTTTATTCTGTAATAGAAGAAAGATAAGAAAAACTCTAAAAAGACAGCATGTTAGGAAAGAAGCTTTCATAAAGACATAAACTAGGTAACCATCAATATATTTGATTGCTATATTCTGTAGTAATAAAAATATATTTGCATTTATTGGTTGTTGTAAAACAACAGTTTAACAAGATAATCTAATTACTTGAAAGTTTGTTAGCAAATTCTCAGTCTCAGAAATACATTTAATAAGTCTTAAAATTATTTCTAATAAGCCAAAGAGCTTATGTTTTTAGTTCTACTTTTAAAATCATGATAATGAGATATTTATTTAGCGATCAGCATCATTTAATGAATCTACAGCTAAAAGAGCAATGTCCAGTTAAGATGTAGAAATCAGGCGCTCTCCTATTTACTGTGTTGGCAGCCTCTTCTCACTTCTGCTCCAAGTCATGTACTAGTTGCATGGATCGCACTATGAATAAAAGTTTTTATGAGTTAAATATCTGGCAGAATACTTAATAGCATAGACTAACAATGCACACTAGTGTACTAAGGTTCTAGATGTCCTTTATTTCTGAAAGAAGTCATTCAATCCAGAGCCTCACAAGCCTTATCTAATAATGGAAATGTTTTTCACGTTTTTTATGATTTAGACAAATTGAAAGGTGAAGGAAAGCCTAATCTATGTGGAATGCTAGTCAGTAAGATGAAGAAAACTGTTTCAAATACTTTAATGACATTTCTTTAAATATTCCAGGTTGGTTTGTTTATACACATGTATAACACTGATTAACAGGAGAATGAATCTGTGATATATTTTAGTATTTAACATAATATTCTTGTCAAGTAAAATGACTTATGTGTGTGTTTAATCTTAACCATTGTAAGCTATATTAAATAGTGGGAACTTTGAGCAACTAAACCCTTAGTATTAGAAAACAGTATGAAATTGTCCAAAATGTGATCTCAGCACATGTTCAAGGAGATAAAAAGATGACTAGACCTGAAATATTTAATTCAGTACTAGTTACACATTTTAAAGCATGCTTATAATTGAAGCTTTTATGGAGTTTTCAGGGGTATAAACACCTGCCTTGAAAATGCAAGATCATGAGTTTGATTCCTGGTACCAAAAGTAAATAAATGAATGAATGAATAAATAAATATATAAATAAATAAAGTAATTTGGAGTTTTTCCCAAGAAGAACCACTAGGATATTTAATAATTTAAAAACCAAGATCAATGAGTAACAACTGAATGACTCAGTGAGATGTCAATTGTTACCAAACCCATGTTTATAGCAGCACAATTCATGATAACTGAATTTTGGAATAAGTCTATGTGTCTGTCACCAGAAAATGGATAAAGAAAATGTGATTTTTACACACAATATCATATAGCTCTGCCATAAAGAAATATAAACCTGAGGCTTTTTATAGGGAAATGGATGTAATTTGAGATCATAATGTCAGTTGCAATAAATTTGACACACAACCTTAAATATTTCATGACTTCTCTTACATAAGAAACCCAAATTATAAATAAAGAGCAAAATAAAAGATAGATAATAGGAAGTAGGGAGACAGAGCTCTCTGAACTGGGAAAGGGATCAAGAGATGAAGAGGGACGGAGAAAGAAAGCTGAAAAAAATTAAGATATTTTTAAGCATGTCCCAACTCTATATAAGGAGCATAAACATTATTTACTGTACTGAAAACATGTAATCACATATAGAGGAATTCCTTGATGTAAACTTACGAGGGCAGACTTTACATTACTGGAGCAAGACTGAAGAATTATGATAATGAAGAGGATTCACATAATGAACATATCTTAATTAGAACTGCTTTAAAATGAAATGAGATGCTTTGTGAAATATTCAATAAGTATTAAGGGATTATTTATTAGAGCTTGTATCAGTAGAATAATAATGTGGGCATATATTTATGTATGTCACTTAGCATCAAACATAAATCAGTTGTAAGCACTAGGAATGCAACACTAATAGAATATAATTTAGGGTAGGCAGAGATGACTTCCATAAGCATATCACTGGATATTTAAAATCCAAGTTGACTGAATACTTGGCATGGATTTACATTGCTTTTACCCAAAAAGTAAATAAGTTGTATATTGCCATATGATATTTTTCTTTTTTCTTATTTAAAGCTTCCATCAGATTCTTGCAAGTACATCACTTGGCACAAGGTAGAACAACACGGCATTCAAGGAAGTCAACTGCGTTGCCCAAGAATACGAGAAGGTAAATAACAAATGTGTATAATCGCTATGTGTGCTCTGAGAAATTTTATTTTATGCATTAAAACACACTATTTTTTTTGTTTGTTTTTTGTTTTGGTGCTGGGGATCAAACTCACAACCTTGCACTTGCCAGGTAGGTGCTTGTGCCCCTGAGCCATATTCCTGGCCTCTAAAGGACATTACTTAAAAGTAGAAAATCTTTTTTCAGTTCCATAGGACTGATATAATAAAATAACCTTCGAAGGTATTCTTAAAACATTATATAAACAATTAATATTTTGTAGTAAATATTGAAAAAATAGAAAAATAAACAGAAATCTGTAAACCAGCTAGTTAAAATAACGAATGTGAATTTTGGTTCCCTTATCATAAAACGCACACACCCCACGACCCATGTACTTCAGTGTCTATAACATGATGTCTGACCTGTTAGAAGGAGCCTACGCTTGTGAAACTTAGAGAGAAAATATGTGAATGAATTAAGGAATACAATACAGGTTAGGAATGAAAGAATAGCCTAAGAGTACAAAATAGAAAAAAAATTATATTGCAAGCTGAAATAGAAACACCAAGTCATCTGTGAAGGTAAACTCATCAGAATAACAGCAAATTACCTCGCACACACTCTAAATACCAGAAGGATATGGACTGATGTATCTCGGGACCTTAAAACAAATAACTCCATCCTAGATTTCTATATCCAAAAAGCTTTCCTCAGAATGAGGGAGAAATAAACACTTTTAGTGAGCGAGCAGGACTTTATGCCCAGTAAGTCAACACTGCATCAGTATGAAAAGGAATCCTGTGGGCTTCCTCGAAATCTACAGGGTAGGAAGCAGCAGAGAAAGAGCCTCTCCAAATTTTGTGGTTCAGAAGAGAAGGAGAGAAGTGGATCCCATGAACACAGGAAGGCTCTGAACTGAGTCTTGCAGCCCGCGGAGACAGGTAATCCAATTCAGCAAAAATAAGAAATAAGAAAACAGGGACAGAGGACCTGCCAGATGAGAGGACCAGTGCGGAAGACAGAGGCCCCGCTGCCAGTCTTTCGGCCACCGGGAGCAATGGCAAGGACGCGATGTAGGCCCCTCCCCGTGCACTGGTGGAGGTCCTGCTGGCCTCGGAGAGCGGCGGCAAAGGAGCGCATAGCCCGCTGCTCGGGCACCAACCGGGGTCCTTCGGGCTCAGGAGGAAGGAAAGCGAAAGCTTCACAACACAAGGGTGTCCACTGTCATCACTCCTACTCAATACAGTTCTGGAAATACTAACCAGAGCAACTAGAGAAGAAATAGAAAGAATAAGGATAAGACAGGAGGAAGTTAAATTATCATTATTTGAAAATATGATACGTTACATAGAAGACTCCAAAAACTTGACCAAAGGACTTCTAGATTTAGTGACAAGTTCAGCAGCATAGCTGGATACAAAGTTAACACTCAAAAATCAGTAGCTGCCTATAAACAGATAACAAACTCACTGAGAGAGAAATTATGTAAAGACCTTTTTAATATAGCATTCAAAAAATGGAATACTTAGTAATAAATCTAAATGAAAGAAGCAAAAGATCTCTACATTGAAAACTACAGTACTTGGAAAAAGGAAATAGAAGAGAGTATTAGAAAATGGGAAGATACCCTTTGTTCTTGGTTGGGTAAGAAAAGCCAATATAGTAAAAAGGACCATACTTCCAAAATTGTTATATAGATTTAATATAATCCAGATCAAAATGTCAACAGCATAACTCACAGAATAGAGAAAATAATCTAAAATTCATTTGGAAACAGAAGAGACCTAGAATAATAAAGGCAATTCTTGACAACAAAGGCAAAGCAGACTTGAAAACTCTGACTTGAAACTGTACTACAAAGCTACTGTGATAAAATAAAATAAAAACAGCATAGTACTGGCAGAAAAACAGACCTGAGGGTCAGTGGGACAACTTAGAAGATGCAGAAGTAACTCCACATATCCTTAGTCATCTTTAACAAACAGATGAGGCAGCTCCATTGGAAGAAAGCTCGCCTGTTTAATCAATAGTTCTGGGAAGACTGGCTTTCCGCATGCCAGTGAGTAAAACTAGACCCCTGTCTTTCATCAGTCACTAAACTAAAATTGAAATGGGTCAAAGATTTAAGCGTTAAAAGAGAACTCTACTGGAAGGTAGAATAGGTACAACTCTTGAAGGCATTGGTATAGACAAAGACTTTATGAATAAAATCCAGATCACAGGAAATATCACAAAGAATCTACAACTAGGATCTCATCTCATTAGAAAGGTTTTGCACAGCAAGAGAAACCACCAGTAGAGTGAAGAGACTACTCACGGGTGTGCGGAAAAAATTTTTGCCAGCTGGTCCTCAGATATAGCACTATTATCTAGAATATATGAAAAAATCAAACTTTAAAGACTCAATCCAAAATGAGCATCTAGAGTGAACACCCACTTCTCAGGTGAAAAATAGAAATAGCACAAAATATGAAGAAATGTTCGACATCAAGAGATGCATTCAAGAGATGCAAATTAAAATAATGCTGAAATCCCGTCTCATTCCAGAAGAAAGGTCGTTATCAAGAAATCATTCAATAACAAATTCTGGCAGGGCTGCAGGGAAAAGAATCCTTCTCCACTGTTGTTCGGAGTGTAGACTGGTCCAGGCACTGTGGAAATCAATGTGGAGATTCCTAGGTCCACTATAGATTCCGTGGACCTAGCTATTTCGCTTCTTTGTATCTTGCCAGAAAAATTGAAAGCAGCTTACTACAGTAGTATATGCACACTCATGTTTAAAGAACACTTTGTAGTAGCTAAATCTTGGAAACAGTCCAAATGCCCATCAATCAGTGAATGGATAAAAAAGATTTGGCTTTTTATACAATGGAGTACTAGTCAATCAGAAAGAATGACAAACTTCGCATATTTCTAGGTAAATGGATGTACATTTGCACCATACTCTTTTTTTTTTCTTTTTGGTGCCAGGGATCAAACTCATGATCTCGCATTTGCCAAGCAGGCACTTATGCTGCTGAGCTAAACCCCCAGCCTACACCATACTCTTTAGTGAAATTAATTGGACACATATGTTTAATAGTGCATTGTTTCTCTGGTGTAGAAATCAAAAGTGATAATAAGGACAAAAATGTATAATAGACAATGTGAAATAGGACTAAAATGAGAAAGGGAACTAGGGAGTAAGGTGGAGGAAGGGAAGGAGAGGAAAGAAATAAAAGAAGAAAAGAAGGAAAAACTGGAAATACACTTTGGTAAATAAGGGGGAAGAAAGGCTGAAGAGAGAGGAGGGAAAAGGAAATAAAAGGCTCAAGATATATTATGTACAGGTACAAATTCCCTGTGATGAATGTGACCATTAAGTACACCTAAATTTACCGATGAATTTAATTTTAAAAATAAACAAAAAGATCTGACACAATAAAGGCTACTTATGGCATAACCGCAACCAACATCCTACTGGATGGAGAAACTTGAGTAACTCTCCTTTCAAATTAGGAATGACAAGGATACCCATTCATCACTCTTCTTTAATTTAGTCCATGAAATTTAGGCTAGAATAGGAAGCAAAATAAATAAAAGGAACAACAATTTGGATGAAGTTCAATAGCCTGTGTTACAAATATGATCCTATACTTAGAAGACTGGTCTCCTCTAAAAAAGTTTTAGTGCTGTCAGACTAATTCAGTGAGGTAGCAAATTATAAAATCTACATGAAAATCAATAATTTCTAAATGAACCCCTTGATAAAGCACCAAAACAATTCTATTCACATTAGCTTTTAAAAATAACTACCAAGGAGATGAAGGACCACTAGATTGAAAGTTACAGAACTCTGAAGAATAATTTGAAGAAGACCCCAGAATATGAAAAGATCTTCCATGTTCATCCATCTGGGGATTTAATATTGTTAAAATGCTCATGTCACTGAAAGTGATCTGTAGTTACAGTGCAGCCCTCACAAAAACGCTGCTCTTCATTGAACTGAGAAAAAGAACCTTAAATTCATATGGAGGCAACAAAGGCCCAGAACAGACAAGAAATCTTCAGCATAAAGAGTAAATCTGAAATATCACAATACCTGAGTTCAATAAATACTACAGAGCAGTAGTAACAAAGAGAACATGGTACTAACACCAAAACAAGTACATATAGCCGAACTACCCCCTACAACATCAGTGGATGAATGAATACAAAGATGTGGTATACATGCACAATAGAGTGCTATTCACCCATAAAGAAAAATGAAATCATGTCATTTCCAGGAAATGAATGTAGCTGGGAATCATTATGTAAAATGAAAAAAAACTCGGAAAGGTAAGTACCATATATTTCTATTATATGTGGAATCTAGAGGAAAGAAGATGATACAAAATACAAGGGATACTGTTAGGGAAAAGAGAGAGAGCATCCTGGAAGGGGAAGGAGAGGTTGAGAATTTCTGGTAAATGCTCAAAATATATAATATACATTTGAATATAGTAAAATGAAATCCGTTACTCAGTAACGGATATTCAATATCCATTGTACTGATATTCAGTAAGAAAAAGAAATTTAATTTACTTACTATTTTTCATGGTTATGGATAACTGTCACTTCAATTGGTGATTTTGGGCTGATTTTCTATTTTAAAAATCCCTAAGTGAAAATCTTAATATATTCATCAATATTCTCTATAGAAACAAAACCAACAGACTGCCTCTATAACAGTGACAACTAGCTCACACAATCATGGAAGAGGTTAAGTCCCACATGTGCTATCACACTATGTCTTCAAAGTTGGTGGTATAATTCAATTTGAGTCTGAAGTCCCAAGATAGGGGAGCTGCTGGTGTAATTTTCAGGATGAGGCCAGAGGCTAGACAACCAGGAGACTACTTATGTCTTGAGTCTGAATGCCAGGACACCCAGAAATCAGATTTCAAGTTCATGCAAGTAAAGCATCTGAGGTATTTGGTATAAAATGCTGGGGCTCCAGAACACATATCTTGAGAAAGTATAGCAGAAAATTCTTTTGCAAGTTATCTGCAGGCTGTCCAAGGAAAATACTAATTTAAGAGAGTCGAGGAAAGGATAGGAAATTTGAATTGAATGCAACAAGAGTGATCAAATAAGTATGCTAGTATATGGGAGTACATACTAAACAAAAAGAAATTGTATTCTGAGTATACACGTAGGGTTGAGGCTAGACCAGTCTATGGCACAAGCGTTATTTGTTTTTCTTTTAAAATCCAAGATGTTAATGTACAAGTTGTTTCTTCTAAACTAAAACCTTAATATTCAGTTTAATTACAGTGTTGGTACTTTGTGATAAGCAATTAGATTTGGGGCTGCAGTTTGGGCACTTGTCTCAAAAAATTTTGCCATCATCAGGCTAGAGAAACTACAAAAACTGGACATGATGAGAATAAATGTGAAAATTAACTGAAATTGGCACGTGTAAAGAGGGTCCACTAATTTCCCCTGTCCCTGATTTATCTGTCAGCAAAACCACTCACACGTAGTGATCATGGTGACCAGTCATGCAGAGGGCATCACTGCTCTGTGGAGAGAAAGGCACATTTCCTTGTATAGATGATTAGCAGTACCCAATTGCACTAAGTGACTAATAATAAAAGGAGCTGAGTGTGATCTACAAGATGGAGGACACTGGAAAAGCCTATTATCTCAAACTATAGTGAAAATAGATGTCCCATTTTCATTGTACTTAATTTGGTTTTAGGTCTGTGTTGTGATACAGAGAACAAGTGCTTTGAAAAGCATTCTGATAAGAATCATCTTCCTTCTAGATTAGATTCTGAAGCACTCATCAAAACTATTTCAGTTGAGCTCAGTTGCCCAAATTGTACACAAAGATGGAGTTTGTAAGAAAAGAAAGGTCATCTTCTGTGTGATAAACAGCAATTTCCCCAAGGTTTGACTGCCAGATTAAAAGCAATTTAGCTTCTCTCAATTAAAAGAAGCAAAAGAGAAAATTGTTGGCAGAATTCCTTTATTAAAGGATATATTGTTTGTTTGAAAAACTTCCAGCAAGTTAATTCAGTGACTGCTGTTATGACTTACAAATCCAGAGAGGGCATAATGAACAAGCTCAGGGCCAAACCCAACAATCCTGGACTGTCAGGTGTTCAAGTTTGTAACCTTAGCTGCTAAGATATATTTTCAATTACCAACTAAGCCTGGGCAAAAATATGAATCCAATTCAATATAATGTCTCACACTGGAAGTGACTTTTGGCTTCTAACATCAAATAAATCTTTGAAAGACAAATAATTAAAACAGCAGAGAATCAATAACAAACAACACAGGGCAGAGTTTAATAACTCTGGTATCTGTAGTACACAGAGAAAAGCTACTGAATTGGGAGTGGAGATGAGTTAAAGACAATACGTAAGTTCCCCTGGCCAACTGGATGATTATTCTAGTTTTCAACTTTATGATTTTTGACTCCAGCCATCTTTATCAATAAAGAATTTTTTTCTATTTGGGGATCTTTTATTTGTGAATTGGTTAACCCTATCACACTGAAGGTCAAAGGATTTCTGGGCCGGGACAGTGCAGTTTATTATGAGAAACATTTTTCAACAGCAGGTAACAACTACCACCTCCTGGTGAGAAACACTAATGTTTGTAACACAATAAGGAAGTATTGAACTGCTTTCTCATTACTTTCTGTAAACCCTTCATAAGTAAACACATTATTTCCTATCACAGTCCAGGCACACAGGCACAAAGGCAAAGCAATGTTCATTCTCGAGCACTGTTGCTGCTGTGTGTGGGTTTTCACCTGTGCAATGAGAAGAGCACGGGGACTAGAGAAACACGGTGGGGAAAATGAATGCAAATGTGTTTGGCACGACACGTATAAGATATGCTGTTGGGAGGCGATCAGAATAACTTACTGCATGCTTGTTTATATGGGCCTGGCTGAGATAGAAGGAAGTGAAGTTTTCCTTGGGTAGCACAGTAAAGACCGGCCTGAGGCAGTGAGCTGTGTGCTGGCTTAGAACCAGCAGAAATCACCGTCTTTGTGAATCCCCCAGTTCAGCCCATGCTGGGTCCTCCCTTCACGCCTTCTCTGTATTTTCACACATGGAAAACTGAAACTGAGAAAATCAGAATTATTTTCCTCTGGGATCGCACAGCTGCCTAATACCCAGTTCTAGACCTAGAAACTGCAGTCTTCTCAAACCATGGCAATTCTGAATAAACCTTACCTGGAGGACAGGTTGGGGTAATAGTGGGAAATGAGTTTGGAAATGGATATTGGGATAAGGTGGAAAGTCTTACTTGTTTCTGCACTGTTATAAGCAGTTGAGTCCTCTGGCAGAAGCTCTTTTAGAAAGGCTGGATGGCACCTTGTGTCGTTTATACTCGAGGAAAGAAGCAAGCAGGGAGGGAGACCCCAAGGAGGGCAGCTGCAGTGCATGCAGAAGGTGTGAGGCTCTAAACACTGGAAAGGAAGGCACAGATTCTCAAAGCCAAGACTGAAAGGATTAGGGGTCAATAGAAAGACAAAGCCAGGATCGACTTCATAACTTCACAACAAGGGATTACATGAAGATTATAATTGCTATACTTATGATTTTGCTCATTTGCCTGGGCTAGATAACTCACGTTGGGTTAAAAATTAATTCTACATGCTGATTATTTCCCCTGCTATTAACAGAAATAACCTTTGTCTCCTTTTACAAGTTCAAGAAAACTTGTCAAATTATGTGTGAACCTCAAAATACAAATCCAGTATTTAAGTTAATCTAATTAAAATGACAAGTAACACACATTTTAACTAGCATATGTTCCCTGTAATGTGGCAGACTGAGGAGTCACTAGGTGAATCTGTTTGCTTGGTTGGTTTTAGGCTGGTTGAAATTGATGAAGAGCCTTTTGCATGCTAGACACATGTTCTACCACTGAACTACACTCCCACCAGACCATCTTGATAAAAATTTAACCCAAAACTAAACCTCAGTCATCTGTAGGAACTTAGACGATTCACAGCATAAATATGAGTAATTTAAATACCCTTATATTTTTTAATAACTTTATTCACGTTGTTCTAAACTTCTTGAAAAAAAACAAAACTAATGAAAAAGAAATGAACATGCGGATCTGATTGGTATTTCCTCTGTCTCGTGTAAATCATCTTGTGATGAGAGAGCCAAGGGAGTCAGCCCATCACCCAAAGTTTCCATAGCACCGGGAGAAGCAAGGAAACTAGGTAGTTTGAACACTTATTACTGTCGTATGAATCTTAGTGTGTCCAAGTCAGAGGCCCATGCCCCGCCTTCCCTAGCCATAGGCTCTGCTTCTACAAATTCAGCCAACGGTGATAGAACTTGCAGATGCAGAGGGCTGAGTGTATTTTGTTTAGAAGAGATGAGTAGGAATTTATCTTTATTAGATTGAATAATTACTTTGAATAAATTAGATTTTTCAAAGGACAGTTTTCAGCCTTAGAAGTTGGAGAATGTGGTGAAGGTGGAGCCTGTCCTGGCCCACGTCTCTACAGCCAGATTAGAACACTCCGTTACGGCTCGCACTATAGGGTGGAATCATGTATTCCCCAAGTGAAGCTTCCAGAGAGGCGGCCAAATTACGAGTGAAGATGCCCGTTCTGTACCCTAATCTTACTTCCAAGGTTTTACCATGTAATTTTTCTCTAGGGTCCTGTGAAGAAGACTTGCTTTGCAAACAGGTGAGGTATACCTTCCCTCCAAAGAGAAGAACCCTTGAAAAAACTAAATGGGAGACATGGTTACAAGAAAACTGGGAAGAATGCACGGTGAGAACTTTAAAACAAACCTTATGCTTCCCACTGAGTTAGCTATGACACTAGTTTTTCTGTGAGACAGTTATCAGTGTGAGTAACAAAGCTTGCCCTATCTTCTCAGCTTTCCCTAAAGCTCACTGTTTGGGCTGCTTCTCTCTCTCTCTGTGTCTCTCTGCCTCTCTGTCTCTGTCTCCTTCTCTGTCTCTTACCTTTCTCTTCATCACAATGTCTTGTACCATTTTATGCAGGTATTGCTGAATTTCTTGGGGAAAAGTTTAAAATAGTTAAGAATGAAATTGTTCCTTTCAATTTTAAAAAAAGTCAAATTTTGAGCAATAACATGTTTGAGTGAGTCTGGGTTATTGCCACTAGGCTTCTCGTTCCCTCTTGGTTAAGTCCTGTTTGGATCCCAAACATTGATGATATAATTGAGAAAGATGAACTTTGGTAGCAATAAAAGAATAATGCAACTTCTTCACAAAAAAAGTGGAGTGATCGAATCATAATTGAAGATTTTAGGAAGTCTCCCTGAAACAAAGTGCGTTTGAAAGCTCCTTTTAGGATCTCTGTGCCCCACAGACTGATCTTGTATATCATAACATTATAAAACTAGGGAGTGGGGAGGAGCCTCAGGAAGGTCTAGTATAGATCCTTTCCTTTTAAAGAGAAAAGGAATTCCATAAAGAAATAATTTGCTCAAGGTTACACAAGTGATTAGAAGAAATATAAAAGTAGAATATCTTGTCCTAGTCCAGTGCTTTCTTTCTTTTTTCTTTCCTTTTCTTACTCAAGACAGGGTCTCACTATGCAGAGCTCACTTTGTACCCCAGGCTGGTCTCAAACTTACAATGATCCTCCTGACTTAACCTTCCCAGTGCTGGGACTACAGGCATGTACCAGCACACCTGGTTTTCCAGTGCTTTCTTAAAAAAAAATGTAATCATATACAATAAATGGATACATATTATTCTTTTAAAATTTATATCAAAATTGATCAGGTTAGCACTTTTTGTTTTGTATTTATTCATTGTGTGTGAAGATGTAGACAGCTATTTAGAAGAAAACAAGAGACATTATGCTGGCGATTGTTGATCTCCTGTTGTCTTGCTTTGAAATCTATCACGTTGTTTTCTTCTGATCTGCTTTGTTCTGTTTTACTCTCTTTAAAATAAAAAATAAATAAAATAAAATTTATATCAGACACCTAATGATATATTCTAAAAATGTGAACAATACACTTAGGTGCTGGACTTCAGTCTCATGGCTCCTCCCCCTGGGAGTCATTTGGTATTTATTAGCATACATTCTTTATAGCTGCATTTTAAAGCGTGGAAAAGCCAGAAAATACCAGTGGAACCTTGCCAAGATAGAAAAGTTAACTGACTTTTCATTAGTTATGCTAAACAAACTCTAAACTATCATAGAAAATTTAACTATAAAATAATGATAAATAAGAAAACTTAGGTGACATTTAGTTACATATGATATACACTTGTGATTTCTTAAATTTTCATTTAAAATGACTTTTCATAGTTTTGGAAATAGAATTTGAAGTATCAAATTTTTACATTGTTGAAAAATATCAAGATCTGAGTCTTTCTAAAAATAGTTATATTTCTTTCCTTAAATAGAAAATTATTTTGCCCTAAAGTCTTTAAAAGAAGATTGTCATTCTATTCATAGTTTCTACTCGTTGCAATTGGTGGTGGATATGGATAAAAATTGACATTTAGGAGTAGTATTTTCAAAAGCAATCTTACTGCTTACAGTGGTTTTAATTTTCTTTAAATCAAATTCACTGACATTAAAAGTAAACCATGTACTGCATTTGAAATTTGCAAACCTGTTTTTAGGTACATATTGCTAAAACAAAATAGTTTTCCTTTCTTTTCTTTTTTTTCGGTACCGGGGATCGAACTCATGACCGCCTGCTTGCAAGGCAGGTGCTTGTGCTGCTGAGCTAAATCCCCAGCCCCAATAGTTTTCATTTTTAAAAAACTTTTAAATAGTTTTCATCTTTCAAATGATTCTACTTACTCTGAAATTTTTATAGATATGAATTCTAAGTATTTCTGAGAAAAGTTAATGATAAGTGATCACTAAAGTAGCAATTCTTAGATAGAAATGTATGTCTTCCACTTGCAATTGCTAGAGACTGTCAGAATAAAGCTGAGGATCCTGTCCTCTTCCCCTTCATTGCCCCTGAAAACCTTTTGTATCAGGAAGTAATCCTGATCCATACCTTTACCCTCCTTTAGGCTGAGAATCCCTGTGAGTATCAGAAAGTAATCTTAATCCAGACCTTTACCCCCTCTTACACTGAGAATCCTGCAACATAACTGCGAGCTCTGGGGTGAATGTATATAATGAACTTCAAAAAAAGAAAGAGATGAAAACTACAGGCTGAAATAATATATATGACTTATTTTAAATTCATAATTACTTTCAATAATTGATAAAAACTAACTTTTAAATTTTTATTTGTTTTGCCTTTAGAATTTGAACCTTTCATTTCAAGATTTGGGGGACACTTATCAAGTTGAAAATTTTAAAAGGATTCTTAGAAGATTAATTCGAGTTGAAATTCTCTGGTTAGTGGACAATTCACTGGTGGATTTAAGTGCCATAAGGTTGCCAAGGTACCTAGTTACTATGTTAAAGTAAAAACTTTGCTATTTGACTATATGCAACATTGTCTATACATATTGTATATCACCTTATGTGGTCAGGTATTGCGAGTGATATGTTTGCCAAAGTGGCTACATGGCAAGACAATATGAAAAAGTTTTATTTAAAATGTCACATCTTAGAAGGATAAAAAACCATTATCTTGCAAATTAATAATTTGATTACTGATTGTTAGAAGACTAATTGTCATAATAAAATTATGAGCAGAAAATTTTGCTATTTTACTTGGGTTATACACTTGAAAATGCAACTCCAGAACAGGTATATTATTAGAGTTGAAAGACAGTAATTTTAGTTAGCTATATTTGGAGAAAACCTATGAGCAAACACTCAACAAGGTAGTTAACAAGACTATTAGTTTCAGGATTCCATTTTAACATAGTGATCAAATTTTTTGATCAAATTAGTAATAAAACTAAAAGTTAAAAAATATAGTACTTGCATTTAGCCAAAAATCTCAAAATGCTACCATTAAAGACAGTTGGCTTTTCTTCTCAGCGCTACGGAAGAACACTCTTTGTAGGGAGCTTCTGTCTGCTTCCATGGAGATATAACTGTTAGCTGATGTGAGCTTTGGAAGGCGTGAATTAGGAGATGACAGAGTGCATCCTAGACAAAATGGGAAGGCAAATTCTAGAGCAAGAAGACGGTATCTCAGATCCGGGGCTGTGACTAGGCTACAGAAATAGAAGAGGAATTCAGTTAGACAGACAGATAATGTGCCAAAATACGCAACCCATGGTTGGGTATCCATGCCTATTGCCTTCCATTTTCAAAGTCCTTTTGAAATTTTACATTACTTATATAGCATGTGAATTTAATTCTGTTCTTTTGAAATAATTAATTTTAAAATATCTAAACAAAACATTTAAACTTTGAGGCCAGGTGTATAAATCCTAGCACTTGAGAAGCTAAGGCAGGAGGACGTTGGGGAGATGGTTTTAGATACATACCGGGTATGTAACAGTTATGCATTGACTAGATTTTTCTAATACATATTGAAATGAATGTACAACAGAAATATTTTAGTGATAGCACTTGTCCATAGCATAATTTAGAAATATTGAACTAGAAGATTGTTTACTTGGAGTATCTGAACTTGACTTGATTCAGATTAATAGACTTTTGAGATCTTTATCATTTTATGTAACAAAAAACAAGGCCATTATAAGACTCAGTTGCAGTGTTCTTTAGATGAATAATCTTGGCTTTTGTTTTCTGTAGAAATAGGACACACAATATAAAGTTATACAGCTGCAATTCAAATGTTACTGCTTCCAACTCAATTTCTCAAGGAAGAAAAGCAGTTGCTATATTTTCATAGTCCCTTCTTTCACCCAGAAAATGTGTGCATAGCCCATTAGGTATGCCAGTGACTAACTCAGCACACCCCACCCCTGGCTTGTCGATGATGGGGTGTTTCTGAGAGACTGAAAGAATAACAGGACATAGTTTTAAAAGTGAATGTATGACTGATAAATAAGAAAAGAACAGATTTCAGAAAAGAGTAGAGAGAAGACAGACCAGGAGAATTTACGTGAGCTATGTTTCTTATTAAAAAATCTTATCATAAAATTTTTCCTAAATATTATGTGTAACCTGGAAAAGAACAGAAGTCAAAGGTGATCAAGGATATGGCAAGGACACTATCAAATGTATATCTGGAGAGAGACTGGAAGGAAACAAGAAAAATGAAAGCAATGCATGTGAAAAGCTGTGGATGAAATCTGGCTTTGGACCAATCCTGCTTTTTTCTGATGCCTCTGTGCTACAGTTATCTTGGGAGTTCACCTCATTTACATTAGCAATTATTATTTACCACATCACTGTGGAATCCAAGTCCCATAAAGAAGTGCCCTATGTTTCTCTGGTGATGTTAAATTACAAGTTATATATAAAGAAATTTTTTCTTACAATATGGTGCCAGTGATAGATTTTGAATTATTTTCTCTATTAATATAGTCTTGTACAATTACAGTTTTAAGGCAAAAATATGGACAAGTATCATCTCTCAGGAAAATGTATTGAATTTAAAATGCCTAACATACTTTCTTCCCCTGCCGGTACTTCTTAGTTTTCCTTTATATAAAAAAGCCTTTTTTTCTGATTTAAAATATTGCATTTTAAATCAGATATAGAACTCAATAAAAACATTTTAAATGTAGAAAAGCAGAAAGAAAAGTGACAACTTCATTACTTAGGTGCAGTGTCCATCCCAAGTTATTTTTATCTTTTGAGTACACTTTTATATTGCCGCAAGTGTATGCAGCTCTCACACTTTCATTCAGGGTGTATCAGGAATCTCACTTGGGCCCTGTACTGTGCTAGATAGTATGTACACTGGAAAAGAAAACTGATTCCTGTGTAACACTGTCTCATTCATGTGCTAATTTTCTCTTAATATTTAATACTATAGTACATTTGTGAGAAACATCCGTGTCCCTGTATTGAGAGCCTGTGTTCTAAGCAACGCACGCTAGTCCTAAGGAAGATGTAGTGGGAAAACCATCCTCTGTAATTTAAATACAAACATGTAACAAGTACTTTGTATTTTGTATTCAGCTGCAGAATTTTAAATATGAACAAAAACTATCTCACATCTTTCAAACAATTGCCAAAGATACCTCAGATACAGCATTTATCCCTGGCTGAAAACCACATTGAGACCCTGGCTGGACTCTCCAATTTGCAGTACACTCCATTAGAATCTCTTATACTCACCAGGAATCCTTGTGAATTTCACCAAAATTATAGAAAAAGGTAAGGTCCCAAACACTTGAAGAATTCTTCAATGAATATTTTTAACCATTTTTGCATTGCCCGCTTCTTGTTTAAATTTACTTAAAATATACATGTTATGTTGAATACTTGATACTTTTTTTTTTTTGAGACAGAGTTTTGCTCTGCAGTTGAAGTTGGCCTTGAACTATTCAATCTCTGTTGTTTGGTTCTGAATGCCTGTAATACTTTCATTCTCTTGAGTTGTTTTATAATATTTTGTTATGTTTGATACTATTGTACATGAAGTTATGCTCAACTATTTCAAAGAAAGAGACATTATGGTAGCTACTGTTATGTAGTTACTGTGGTTACTGTGTTGCTTATATTGCTCTGTTCTGATCTGCTTTGTTATGTTCTCTTTTGTCTTAATCTCTTTAAAATAAAAAAAAAATAAGTTGGCCTTAAACTCACTTTGTACGCCAGGTTGTCTTGAACTCACAGTGATCCTCTTGCCTCCGCCTCCCAAATGCTGATATTATAGGCATGCACCACCAAACCTTACCACTTTGTGCTTCTGATGTCACCTAAAGAACTTTAAAGTAACTTTTCTTCATCTTAATATTTTTATCTTTAATGCAATTTTGTCCCTTGGTTGTCTTTGAATTACTATAAAGACTTCAGGTTTGTATTGTGGTGTGATTTTACATATACAATGACAGGTATTTCATTTTATGCTTTGAAATTCTATGTATTTTTCACATGCACTGGATATTATTTATGTCTTTTAAATTTTTTCTAAGTATAGATTCCTATAAAGTTATACATGATAGTCTTATATATGTTTTACTCTTTGTTTTTTTTTTTTTCATTCCTTCAGTCCACAAAAGTACCATTAGATAAATACAAGACAGTAATTGAATCCGTCTCCTATGTGGTTGAAAGAGCTCAAATACCTGCCAAGAAGATGCTATTTATATTACTTTGTCACTGTAGTGGACATCCCTAATGATAATAATGGAATCTAAACAAGCTTAGATTATGCATCAAGTCAAATGCGTGCTGAATTAGTCAGCATTCCTATTGTGGGGATATAATACTTAACATCCACAACTTCACTAAAGAGAGGTTTAACTTGGCTAACATTTTCACTAAATTCAGCTCCTGGTCAGCAGGCTTCAAAGCAGAAATTTCATAGCCAGAGTGCGCCAGAGCAAAAGTGCTTAATTCATGGCAGCCAGGAAGCAGAGCAAGGAGACAGTGCCATAAAGGAAGGGGCCAGGGACTGTATGTCACCCAAGGTCATGACTCCATAACCCACCCAGACACACCTGGAAGTGTGTTTTAAAATCTACTAGACATTTTAATACAATCAAGTTGACATATTACGGTTAACTTCACAGTCCACCATTTGTCAAATTGATACCCCAACATATCTCCTTAAATCCTACTTAATCTCCAAATAAACACAATAAATAAAAATTTCACCTAATTATCTTGCATATAGCCAAAAATACAATAATCCCTTCCCCCAAAGTTTTAACATTGTTCAAAAGTCCAAGTCAAATTGTCATTTGAGGCAAACTTTTAGCTCTGAACTCTGTAAAAACTTAAATGAAGTTACATAATCCCAAGATACAAGGGCACAGGGTAAACATTTCCCTTCCTACCAGGAGGAATAGGGACATAGAAAAGTGGACCGCAGCAAGACTAAAACATCATGGAGCAAATATCTGGAGCACGTGACGGTGAGATGGCTTCAGCCCACGTGACTTGCCTCTTTGGGCTGGCTCCACTTGTGCCCTGTACTTTCCTCTATAGACACTCCGTGTTCCTGGTATTTTCACCTGTTAGCTTCTCCACTGCACCTCTGCATTCACTCCAGCACCTGCTCATGCACTCTTTGGCCATCAGGTCTTCCTTTGAAATCTAGGTGGATTTCCCTAACCCCACAACTCTTACATTATTCGTGCCAGTAAAACCAGCATCATGTGGGCAATGCCACTGTCAGCTGCCAGGTGGAGCAGTGGTCAGACCCCACTGGACTGTAACTGTAGTGGTTTCTGCACACTTGAATGGCTGAAGACAGTGGAATGAATCACAAGGAAATAGTCCCCTCGGAGGCCTTCTCAAGCAGGCATCCACGGGATTTTCATTCCAAATGAGAGGTTTTACATTTTTGCATTCATGAGGCTACTGTGATTTTTGAGATGCCCTCAAAGCATATATTTTCTTGTCCCTATAGTAAGTACTTAGCTTCTTTTCAATGATACTAATCTCTCCAGTAACCATAACAACTCTGGCCCTAATTTTACACATTCCATTTGAGCCAAAATTTAAGATTTTCAGGCTTTCCTGCTCTGATTGTTGTCCCCAGTTCTCACTATAAATCTGGACAAAAGCTGCCAACCAGTACCCATATCACATCTGAACTTTGGGGTGAACATTTGGTTACCTTGAAATTTCTTCCATCAGATTAATTACTCTGCTGCTCCTCAGCTCAGTGTCTTTAAACTGTTAGGGCACGGCAAAATATAGACAAAATTTTTACCAGGAGGTAACATTCCAGAGGCTCTAGTCCAATTCCCAATAGAATCTTCATTCCCAAATGAAGTCTCTTGAACCTGGATTTTACTGTCTGTATTTTTATCATAATTTTATGATTTTGAGCTCCAACCAGATTTCTCATCAAGCTCTACTTACAGCATTCTAAGGCCTCTCCAGCCCACATTTCCCAAGTTTTCCAAATTCTTCCTGCAAACCAGTTCTAAAAACTTCTGAAACAAATGGTGAGTTTGTCTCAGAAATGACCTCTGTTCTCAGGTACTGCACCAATTTTCTGTACTAGACAGCTGAAACATTTCTGGGTATTTTGTCCCAGCAATAGTTATTTTGGGCTCATGACAGGAGGACTGAGTCCTTGGTCACAGGCTTCAAAGCAGAAATAGGATGGCCAAAGAGCACGGTGGAGCTGAGCTGTTTAGTTCATGTTGTCTGGGAATCAGGACAGGGCAAAGTGCCAGTGAGAAAAAGCCAGGTCCTATGCCTCACATCCAAGGTCATGCCTGCAGGACCCATCCAGACTCACACAGAAATACGCTTTTCTAATCCACTACATATTTTAATTCAATCCAGTTGGCATCAGGAATAATAATCACATACATCGATGTATCTCCAGCTAATTCTTGGCACCATTGTTAGTGTATTTAAAGTAATTAAAAGGACCAAAATAAGCAGTTATTTCTAAACTTCTATTTCCTCCCCAATGGCTTCAGATCTTTTAATCTCAGATGACTGTGTCTTATGAAGAGTTAGATTAGTGCTAGGGTCAGACTATTTCCTATTTCCACTCTTTAATTATAGTTCTTTATCTACATCCAATTTCAATCAAAAGATACAGATTTTAGCATCTTCCTTTCTTACATTGACATTTTACAATGATAGCAGCTATGTTCAGGAGGCTTACATAATATTAACATATTCAATTCTTGATGCACAATGCAAAATTGCTAAAATAAAAACTCGAATCTCTGTTGTTACTACATAAATCTCACTACTGCTATTGTCTCCCCTGTGACTAGTCTGAAAGCTGAATTTCATGTCTGTGATTATAAATCCTCAAAGTATTTTATATAATAGTGAAAATTGGTGGCACAGTAGCTTTAATATTGAATGAATACTTAACCAAAATAATATTTTGAAGTTTAAAAATGTATTTCCTGCAGTCAGAGGAGTCTTAGGTGGACATTTCAACATCATTTATAAGAAAGCACATTCCTAGACACAAGGAAAATTTTAAAAATATTGTATTTCAGTTTTATTCATTTATATGTGAGGTTTTATAAATGATTTTGGTTCCAACTCAGTCCCTCCTTTCAGAGAATACCTTACAACAATGATGTTAAGATGGTCTGAAATCTGATATGCCCTGTGGTCTCGCAATAATTCTGTCTTCAGAATTCAGGATGTGGTATAAAGTTATGTGCAAATGAGGTATATCATATTAATAAGCTTCTCTTCTTTTCCCAGTCCTAACTCCACTGAATCGTATCCAAGGTGGATGCATACTGACTTTTTTAAACTGTGAAGAAGCAGGTTATGTTGACTTAGGTAGTATAGAATTGCTCTAGCAGAATAATGTAGTCATTTTAAAGAGTGAGGGAAGGAGTTAAGTATCCACTCAGGCTGAGTCTCTAGACCACATTCAAGGCACAAATTTGGGTAGGAGAAAAATCCATACTTTGAACACTGTGATATTACTCCTTTTGTTACTGGGCACCAGTGTTGAGCATTTGGACCAGATCTGGAATGATCCTTTATGTCACGTTCAAAATCATGTAAAGTACAGTTTTTCTTGATTGCTGCCATCTAGCATTGTGACTGTTTTTCTTTTCCTCCTTTGTTTCAGATCCTCCATTAAGAAAATAGCACAGTTCAAAAGAGAAAAGACTTACCGATAGGACTGACAGTGTGCCGGTGGGGTAATGGGTGGCCCCATTTCCTGGGACACCCACAGGCAAAGTTTTCTGGCCATTTTCTAAAAGTTAGTGTGATATTAAATCACTATAGCTTGATGTTTTAAAAACAAAAATAAGAGTAAGAGTTCCTGATAGCTATGTATAAATCTGGACACTGAAGTAGGAGAATTTAGATTTTAATCATTGCTTTTCACCTCCAGGCTTTATGATTTTGGGTAAGTTACTTAAAATGGGGTAAAATCAATCTCATAGGGTCGTCTTGAGGATTGAGATAATGTGCAGCAAACATTTAGCTTTTATAAAATCATCCAGGCAATCGAGATTTTTAAGGTATCAGGACCGACCATCATTAGCTGACTCAACATGTTTTCTGAAAAGTTTCAGTCTTTTCCACTCAAAAAATTTGAATGCTAGATTCCTCTGGCCTGATCATCAGAATTCCCAGATCTAGGAAAACTTGAAAGTCAAGACTGCTTTATATCACTGCTGTATATGAAGCATTGTTTAGATGGAGCCACCTGACAGATCTCTTCTTGACTCTGGAAATAGCTAAATTTGAAATATGAGCTTCAAAAGTGCTCTCTGTCAAGACAGAATAACTCAACGTGATATTATTTCTTAACCTTCTTTTATATCTCCAAGCCATCATTAAACAACATTGACTTTCTTCACTTTCCTCTTTTTCTCTTATACAACTTTTAACTTTATAATGTGTACATTTATCAGGATCCTTCTTTTAGGGTTAGTTGACTAAATCCATGCATTGATTTTTTTCTTTACAAAACTTATAAAACCTGAATGTAATTTTCTCACAGAAGCAGATTGTATGCAGCTCTTACTTTTCTGATCAATACACACCATCTGTTGAAAGGCGTCTAATGACACCTGAGAGGATAAACCATGGCAGGGTCATCAGCTCAGTGAACACACATGATACTTTTTATTTTAACCCCACTGCAAGGAATAAAGTGAGAGACATTTATCTTTCTTATAATAATAGGCAAAGACCATTCACTTATAAAGAATAAGTTAAATAAGTTTTTTCTATGTAGTTACTTTACTTTTTATATTTTTCCTCTAGAGTGTTCTCCTGCTTGCCAAACTTAAAGATGCTGGATGGAATCTTGAAGCTACCAGAAGACTGTTCATCACCAAAACCCAATATTTTTTCAAAAATATGTACTATAGCCTAATGCAATGTCTATAAAAAGGAAGCAGTCATCACTACTGCTAAAATATAATAAGTAAAGGAAATGCATGATTAAATATTTCACTTTAGTCAAGGTAAGAAAGTATTTTCTGTAAAGTACTAGACTGCAAGTAAACACTGTGGGTTTCATTGGCCATATGGTCTCTGTCATCAAGATTGGCCTCAGCCACTGTAGCACGAAACACTTCATAGAAGATATGTGTGTAGGTGTGGCTATGTCCCAATAAAATTTTATTTGTAAAACATATGGCAGAGTGCAGGTTGCTAATATCTGCTTTTACTTTTAAGGTAATGTGTCTGATTGTATTACTCTTCACCAATATCCACAGGTCTTCTCTGGAGGAGCTGGACGTGCAGCACTTCCTACTCCTTGAGCTCGACATGCAAAAAAGACTTGCTTTGACCAGTGATATATCGTGAATTTGATTTAGGTCCCTTGTAGTCAGACACTCTGAGAACCTGTTTGTATTTTGTCACATTTTCCTTGTGTCACAGCAGTTGGAAAACTTCCAGAATAAAGATGCTCCACTAGTATTTAGGCTCTGCAGTGACTGCGGAGAGGTGGAAGGCCAGCTATTCTATAGAAGACGTATGAGAGAAATGAGGTCCGTGGCATCACTCTTTGGGATTTCATGTTGTTACATCATAGCCTTGCCTCTCCCAATTGGCACTGTAAGTTTAGAGACTGTACCAAGCCTTATTTAATGATGTGTCCCTCTCCCAAACAGTACAGTAAAATTTCAATATGGTGAATGGATGGAAAAATGACTATTATAGGAAATTGTACATGGTTAGCAGAATTACGAGGCAGAAAACAAATACTAGAGTTCATGTCAAGTTTTTAAAAAACTAGTTAGGGTAACAGTATTGGAAGTAGACATTATGTGGGCATGAAAAATTGGGAAGATATTCCAATCTATAAGTGTCTTGTTTAAGTTAATTTAAATTGGGTTTTCTGGTACTTGCAGGCAAGACATTCTGACAAGAAAAATCATGGGTTTCGTAATAGAGGATCAGAGGTGCTGGGCTGTGCACTTAACTCTGGGAAAGAATGGCTCTGGTCACTAGCAAGGATCTTGATGTATGCATATATATTCCTAAGATCCTGCCTGTGCAGAGGTTAAAATCTCATATTCTATTTGGAATGGGTACAGTTTCTTGGGCAGTGTGGCCAAAGGGGTTGATTTAAGTTGCTGAAGAGCAACTGAATAGAGGAAGGTCTATGAACTGAGTAACATCAGACCAAAAATTTAGTTTTGCCTACTTTGTGTAGTGGTGGGAGCTCCAGCAGTAAATAGTGGAGACATATTCAATAATGGCATTACTAAGTATATCTGCTCACTTGATCTTTGCCGTTTTTGTTATATAGGCTTAAAATTTCCATAAATATAGCTTCATTGCTGACAAAAATCATGCATATTTCTCAATACAGTATTACTACAGTTATGCTAAGGCTACAGTAAAGAATGACTCAGATCTCTAGGCATTTTCTTTCTCACAACAATTGATTTACAGAATATTGGGGATAATAGGGGAAATAGACAATCATAATGAAAATAACTCTGCCATCTTAAAACAATTCCAGTGACAAATGTTTACTTAAAAAAAACTTACACATAGTCTAGCACCTCACCAGCTCTAAAATGAATACTTGTATCTACTTTACAATATTCAGTAACAATTTTCCAGTTCATATTTGAATATATTGAATTGTTAGAATCCTAACCTTTAGGAAATTTTCTTTGCATTGTGTTGATCATTTGCCTTCTGCAATTTCCTTGCAATTTTTCAGATTTATCAAATTATTTAATTAATCCCTTAATGTAGAGAATTTTCCTCAGTTTCAAGGTTCTTGAAAGTACCATGATATTTTGTGTTTTATTACATTGGAAATGTGAACAGTTAAACTATGACTCTGTGAAGTGAGGAAGATAAAAGAAAAGCAGAGAAAACTAAAATAAAACCAAAGCAAAAAAAGAATTTTAGTTTTGCATATCCTTTATTCAACCAAAGTAGAAGACGCCTAAAATGAATCTGCTGCACCAAATTTTAAAAATTGAATTAGCAAATTTATTTTTCAATTCTTTGAGAAGTCATCCACTTTCAATTATTTCTTTCCAGAATAGAACAATTATAACTAATTGCTTGTCATTATACTATCAAACTGTGTTAATGAATGGCCATATTTTTGAAGGTTAATTGCAGTCATGAAGCAAAATTTCTAATTAGTTTTAGTGCTTTGGAGCAGATGCATCAATATTTGTACCATGCAGGTATATATTTGCTATCTGATTTTTCTCTGTCGTAAATGGAAGTATTAAGTGAGTTTTGTTTAAAATGTCTAAAAGATCACACCAAACCTTTACAGTACTTTATATAAAAATCATAGTGAAGTCTGTGCTAAAAATTTTTCCCCAAATCTCAGTGTCTTTGAACTATGCATATTTTATATTTCTCATCTTTAATATTTTTGTTATTTTTGACAGTGTCAACTAAAATGCAAATTACTTCAAGGACAGATTCATTTTAATTTCTCTGCATATACCTCAAGAACTGAGGGCTGTTTCTCAATGAGTGGTTAAATTAAATTTGAGTATTTCTTCCTTGAGATTAGATATCTTGTACTAGAAAATTGTTTAAAATACTGTATTTTAAGTCTAAAGCAATAAAAGTGATAGGGCTTACCTTTCTTGCTGAGTCAAAACTATCTGATGCCTAAAGTTAAAGAAGGAAAGAATGATACAGCTCAGTTTGTAAAAGTTTCAGTTCACAGTTTGCTCCAAGGCAGGGTTCTCTGGCAGAAGGGCATCACGGTGGTGAGACAGCGCATGGCACTGTGTGAGGCAGCAAGCAGCCAACCTGCCTTTCCCTTTTTCCCATTTAGCTGCCTGCCTTTCAGGTGTTACCACTCAGAACTATGCTAATTCCAATGAGCCGACCAATTTAGTACCACACATCCTTAAACCCAGTATCACTTCATCAAAATTCACACAACCCAACCCATCCACCTTTGAATCTCCCTACGTGTGACTGCATGAGGCTTTGGGGAAACATCTAGACACAAGCCATACATCCTTGATCCCCAAAAGACTAATGCACACCCTTTTTAGCTAGTACATTCAGAAGCATGAGAGGACCAAAATGAGCACGGGAAAGTCTTACCACCCAGTTCAATGATATCATTGTACTTCCAGTTACAAGTGTTCCTCTTATGCAAACTAAGCCCTCTAAGCCAGATGCACATAAGGTGGCGGGAACAGGAAGCAAAAAGTTTGGCTAATGAATCACTAGGGGTAATGGTAAGTAGTACATTCCTACTACTTCTACCCTTGATTCCTGGACCAGGGAATCCTGGCTAAGGAAGACATGATACCATAGAATGAATGCTGTTTTAAAGCACACACAGTCTTTTAAAGAACCTTACCCCAGCCCTGCAAACTAATGCCACTTAGCTAGTACTATAACTATGTCTTTTTTTTTTTTTTTATTTAAGAGGAAAAAGAGAAAAACACAAAACAAAACAAAGCAGTGTAAGGTTACATATAATACAGAACTACAAAAAAAAGCATAACAGTAAGAAATCACCTGTTAATAGATTACATATTATCATCTTGGAAATAGTTGCTCAAATTACAGTATCAAAGAATACAAAGTAGACATTCAAACAGAGAGACTACAAACAGCTGTGTTCAATGATCCAAAAACATTAATATAGTCAGCTATTCAACATCCCTATACACACTTGCTGTTATATCCGTTAGAGCTCTTTTTGCCCCTTCCTCTCTTTTTACAACAAAATTTACACATTTTAGATTTTATTACTCCTTAGTTCTTATTACTTTTTGGGGGGGGGGAGAATAAAGTCAAATATGGCAGAACAAAGCTGTCAGTGAAAACCAAGGATAGACTTAGCACATGATGTAGAACAGAGTATACGGTTATTAACAATAGTTATCAACGTTGTCTCTTGTTTCCTTAAAAAGATTTGTCTATCTCATTAGATATTATAAAGTTGGACAAAACAGTAGAAAACAAGACCAATAAAACTTAGACATTGTAAACATTACAGGACTTCCAAAGGAGACAATAGTCAAACCAGAATGGGCATCTTAGTGAATCTTACTGCCTTCAAAGTAGTTGCCTATACCCTCGGACCTGATACTATCCCACAGAATGGAACAGAGTCTAGTCAGTCAAAACAAGATCGTGGAAGCATTACAGGACTTCAAAACAAGTTAATAGGAAATCGAAAAGAGTTACTATTATATATCCTAATTTTTAAAATTTTTCCCTTAATTAAAATAAACATAAGAAATAACTAAATAATTTTTTTAAAGAATAATAGTTACCATAGTGTCTGTCTTTTTCCTTGAGATATTTGGATAAAACTTCATATACTATAGCTTCAAATATTTCCATATCAAGAAGCCCAGAATAAAGGCTTTCTAATTAATAAGTGAAAATTTTATAAGGCTTCAAGGCCACATAATGGGGAATCATGATTGCCACATATTTTCATATATTTGAATCATTACTTACATTAGGGAAACTATTCGGTATTCATACATGCGAGATTGATTTATTTCACTTATGAGTATGGTCTCAAGCTGCGCCCATTTATTGATAAATATCTCAATGTGATCCTTCTTTATAGCTGAATAATATTCCATTGTATAGAAATACCACAACTTTTTTATCCATTCCTCAGTTGATGGACACTTGGGTTGTTTCCAAGATCTGGCGATTACAAATTGTGCTGCTATAAACATAGGTGCACATAAATCACTGTGGTATGATGCTTTCAGTTCTTCTGGGAATATGCCTAGAAGTGGAATAGCTGGAATAAATGGGATTTCCAATCCCAACTTTTTGAGAAACCTCCAGACAGACCTCCACAAAGGCTGTACCAGTCTACACTCCCACCAACAGTGCAGGAGAGTTCCTTTTTCCCCACAGCCTCTCCAGCATTTGTTGTTGTTGGTTTTCTTGATCCTGGCCATTCTTTCAGGAGTGAGATGGAATCTCAGTGTGGTTTTAATTTGCATTTCTCTGATGACCAATGATGATGAGCATGTTTTCATATATTTATTTGCCATTTGCATTTCTTCATCTGAGAATTGCGTATTCATCTCAGATGCCCATTTTTGGATTGGATCTTTGAATTTTGGAGGTCTGAGTTTTTTTAATTCTTTATATGTTTTAGACAAGAGTCCCTTGTCTGAGAGAGAGTTCACTAAAATCTTTTCCCAGTTTGTGGGTTTTCTTTTCACTATGCTGGAGATTTCTTTTGACATGCAGAAACTTTTTAATAAGATGTGGTCCCAGTTATTGATTCTGGGAAGTGTTTCCCGTGCGGTTTGAGTCCTGTTCATGAATTCTCTACCTACTCCTATGTCTCCAAGGTTTCTACCCACTTTGTCTTCCAATAGATTTAGTGTTTCTGTTTTAATATTCAGATCTTTGACCCATTTAGATTTTAATTTAGTACATGGTGATAGACATGGGTCTAGCTTTAGTTTTCGGCAAATGGAGAGCCAGTTTTTCCAGCACCATTTATTAAAGAGACTGTCGTTCTTCCAGTGAACCTGCTTGGCTCCTTTATCAAAGATAAGGTGGTTGAGTGTGTTTGTAGTTGTGGTTGTATCTTCTAATCTATTCCATTGATCTTCGCCTCTGTTTTGATTCCAATACCATGTTGATTTTACTACTATTGCTTTGTAGTATAATTTCAAGTCAGGGATTGTGATGCCTCCTGCTTTGCCTTTGCTGCTTAGAATTGCCTTTGCGATTCTAGGTCTCTTCTGGTTCCAGATGAAATTTAGGAGTGATTTCTCTAGATCTATAAGGTATGTTGATGGTATTTCTATTGGGATTGCATTGAATCTGTATAAGAGTTTTGGGAGAATGGCCATCTTCACAATGTTTGTTCTTCCTATCCATGAGCAAGGGATGTCTTTCCATTTTCTGAGATCATCTTCAATTTCCTTTTTCAGTGTATTATAGTTTTCACTGTATAAGTCTTTCACTTCTTTCGTAAGAGTAATTCCTAAATATTTCATTTTTTTTGCTTGCTAATGTGAATAGTCCAGTTTCTCTTATTTCCCTCTCTGTAATTTTGTTGTTCGTGTATAGGAATGCTATTGATTTCTGAGTATTGATTTTGTATCCAGCCACATTACTGAATTTATTTATTGTATCTAAGAGTATTTCAATGGAGTTTAGGGGGTCTTCTATGTAGAGTATCATGTCATCTGCAAACAATGATAACTTAACTTCTTCTTTTCCTATCTTTACCCCTTTTATTTCTCTTTCTTGCCTAATTGCTCTGGCTAGTACTTCCAGTACTATATTAAATAGGAGTGGTGATAAAGGACATCCTTGTCTTGTGCCTGATTTTAAAGTAAAGGCTTTCAATTTTTGGCCATTTAGAATGATGCTGGCTGTTGGTTTGTCATAAATGGCCTTTATTATATTGAGGTAAAGACCATCTATTCCAATTTTCTGTAGAGTTTTTATCATGAATAAATGTTGGACCTTATCGAAGGCTTTTTCTGCATCTATAGAAATGATCATGCGATTCTTATTTTTGGCTTTATTGATATGGTGGATTACATTTATTGATTTGCGTATGTTGAACCATCCTTGCATTCCTGGGATGAATCCCACTTGGTCATGGTGTATAATCTTCTTGATGATTTGCTGGATCCTATTTGCCAATATTTTATTGAGGATTTTTGCATCTGTGTTCATTAGGGAGATCGGTCTATAGTTCTCTTTTTTAGTTGGGTCTTTCTCAGGTTTTGGTACTAGAGTAATATTTGCTTCCAGGAACGACTTAGGAAGGATTGCTTCCCTTTCAATTTCATTGAACAGTTTGAGGAGTGTCGGCATTAGGTCTTCTTTGTATTTCTTGTAGAATTC